CACTTTGCGATATCGTCGCTCAAATATTATATTGTGCAGCCTTAATTTGAAAACAAGTTAGTTTTACTTACCCTACTGCACTGTAAAAAAAATGTATATGATTAATTAGTCCTGACAGCATATGTTTTATGTCATTGCAACTTATTAAACTACGTTAATCGTGATCTAACTGAAGTTTATAGGTTACGCAAGCTGTTTTAAGTCAGTTTAACATAATATAAGTTCAATGGACTTATGAGGTTAATTTAATTTAAAGCAACCAGGGTTTTTTTTTTTTTTTTTTTACATTCTCACTTAATTTTAATGACTTGATTAAAACAAAACAACATTTTTATTAATCTAAAAACTGCTTCTTGATTTAAGATTTCTTTTAATATTTAAACTATATAAGCAAAACAAAACTGTTAAGCAAGTTCAAAGTCATTTGAATTAACCAAAATATCAATACTGTGCATGTTCATCATTACAGTATATTGAATAACTGAATACCACTGTATGCGTGTAGCTACACGCACTTTCGAAATTCCCTTTACACAGTTTTAGGTTTCATTTGAGAGAGTATGAGCGGACAAAGACAAAACAAAAAGACAAGGAGATCATCCTCCAATCATAAAGATCCAAACAATGCAGACTTAGAAGATTTAGATTCCTACTAACTAGAAAATCGAGGGAAGTAAGTACTGCAGATGGACACACTCCCAAGATTCGCCTCTGCCTTGTTTCTGGTTTCATCCGAGAGTGTGTCTGTGTATGAGCGGATAAAAGAAGAGACGAGACACAAAAAAAGAGCAGCCTCCCGTCACAGAGATCCAAACGCATGGAGACTTAAAGGGATTTGTGAGTGTGTGTATGTGCGGGCGAGCGAGCAAGAGGGAGGGGGCTGTCTGAATTATTAAAGAGTGTTTTGTTTCACTTAGTGATCCGCTGCTTGTCAGTGTGGTGTGAGCTCTGGAAACAGACAGAGAGGCACACGACACAACAAGACAACACACACACACAGACACACACACACACAAACAGAGAGGGAGAGAAAGAAAAGATTTGAGCGTTTACAGCGGGTTGCATCAGAATTGTATGCAATGTGCAAAGTCGAACAAAACAACATGTCAAACCCACAGAGTGCAGTGACGGGAGGGGAGATCTTTCCTGCAAGATTTTCAGTAGATGGGTATTAAGAAGCGAAAGAGAAGAGAGAAAGTGTGTTTTCTGTGCTCATTAAACGCATCGCTGGAATACTTGATTCTCATTGGTCAAACATTCTGAGGCACATAATAAGCATCAAAGCAGTTAAGTAAATCTATGAGAGATTCTCTTCCGTGGCACCTAAACTCTTTACCCTCTGATATTCGCAATGCAAAATCAGGGGGTATTTTTAAATCATCAATTAAAAGTTTTTTAGGGTGGCTTTAATTTGACTTTTAGATTTATTATTATTAATATTTTTATTTTATGTTTTTTAAATAATTTTTATCATTG